CTGGGCACCAGGAATGTAGAGACATAATACCATCCTGCCTGTAAGGTACAGTCCGTGGGAATACAGAGAGCATTGGGATGGGAAAGAAAGAGTGGGGGACAGTGCAGGCTGGGGTTGCAGTAGGCACAAGGCTGGAATAGATGGGAGACGGTTGTGTTAAATGCACTGGAACAAATGCAGAAGATCCAACAACTGAATTCAAATACCAGAGTGAGCAGTTGTTCCTTGCCAGGCTCTGTGCTAGGTGCTGGGCAGGGATCAGAAGCCTCGAATAACGTATGCCCTGCTGGAGTCGGGGTTGGTGGGGTGGAGAGAAGGAAGGATAGGTTAGATAAGTATCACAAAGATTAGCGGAGAGAATTGAGTGTCAAAGAGAAGTAAGAAACCACATTCTCCATGGGCACCTGAAACCGGGAGCTCCCTGTCTGGTTGGGGGACTAAGAAGACTTCACGGAGGAAGCACATTTGAGGCAGGTCTTGAAAAAAGGAGAACATCGCAGGCTGAGGGACAAGACTGAGCAAATACTCAGGGCAGGAAAGCCTAGGGTGGGCTGGGGGAAGAGCAGTAGTCGAGCCAGTGTATACACAGGCTTGGTGTAGTAGAAGATGGGAGGGAGGCTGAGGCCAGATTGCTCAGGGTCGGAAGGCCAGCAGGAAATATTTATACTTATTTTGGGCGATGCTCTCAAGCAACGGAAGGCCTGTGTTCACATCTGCTCTTCAAGAGCCTTGATCGGGGTAATGTAGGGTGGATGGTAGGTGTGAGAAAGCAGGGAGGCAGTGGGGAGGCTGCCAGAGTGGTCCAAGTGGGGGGCCAAAGACAGCCCCACACGGCAACGGTCTGGTCAGCATGATGTAAAAGGTAATAGGCGTGGAGGTACGTGGAATAAAGGCTTTGAGGCCGACAAATGCAGAGGCTGGGATGTAGGAGAACCCACGGACAAATGCAAGTTTCCCAGCCTGGAGAGCATAGCAGCCACGGCTCTGTGGGCAAATAAAGAAGTCATTGAGAGCTGGTTTAGGGAGGTGGGGAAAGACAGCGGCTTTGTAGAGGTGAACAGAGGGATCCATGGGCTGTTGGAAACGCAAGTCTAGGATCAAGCCTAGGAATGGAAATTTGAGAGTCATTCACATAATCATCATTGTTATCATCCAATAACTACCACTTACTGTATACCTGTTATGTGCCAAGTGCCATATGAAACCATTCAGTTCTCATAACAAGCTACAGAGTGAGCAGGATTAGTTTCATTTAACAGATAAGAAAGCCGAGAGTCAGAGATATTAGGAAACTTGCCCAAGGTCAACCAGCAGGGAAGAAGCAGATCTGGGCCTGAGTATCTCCCCTAAGGCTTGTTCATCAGTCCCTTAAAGTAGAGTGAAGTTATGATAAGGGACAAGGTTCTCACTCAAGAGGCGAGAAAACACTAGCCTGCAGGACAACTGTAGCTTCCCTCTTAATTAGCTGTTAATTATCAGTTACCAGAGGCTACTGAAATGACGTCCAACATAGAAGTAACGGAATGCCCAGAAGTGCATAGGAAAATAATTCAAATGTGTCTGCAGAGTGGAAGATGGTCTGCATGGGACTTGTAACTGGCATGCTTAGGGGTTTTGTGGTCAGAATATAGGATTAAAGAGCTGTATGGAAGCAGGCAAACCAAGGTAGACTGGGTCATGAGAGCTGAGGACAGAGTTTCAAGATGATAAAAATACCAAGAGCTGTGGAAAAGAGGGAGAAGGATGGTGGAGGCTGGACCATCAGGTTTCATGATTAAAGGTCTGGTGACTTTCCTGAGAATCATTTTAGAAGACTGGTGTGAGCAGGAGGCAGAGCCTGGGGAGTCAGGGCATACAGGGCTGGGTCAGCAATTCGGCATTTTTTCATGGAAGGAGGCAGAGGGTGTAGACTAGTCTTCCAAGAGGTTTGGTGGAAAATAGAAAGAAAGAGATTGGGTTAGTGCTCCAGAGTGGGGAAGTCAAGAGGAGTTATGTTTTAGCCTGAGGAGATCTCTGAGGGTCTGTAGGCAGGTGGAAAGGGGCCAGTGACACAGTAGAGTTTGGAAATGCAAGTGAAATGCATCAGTTCCAGGAGAAGAATGTTATGGGTTAGGTAAGGGAGGTTTTTGAGAGTCTCAAAGATAACTTTGCAATTAATTCTTTAATGTATTCAGTAAATATTCATTGAAGGCCTACTGTATGCTGGGCACTCTCTAAGCATTGGGGATAAAGAAGTGAACATGGCAAAGTCCCTGCCTTCATGGGGCTTACAATCTAGTGGAGGATTTGATGGAACAGATTCAAGATATTTAAAATACAGTTTTCTTCTCTGCTTGGGTCATATTGGAACACTGATGGTAGAAGTCTCCTAGGCTTAGCTCAGCCAGCCTTCTGCCTCCAGGTAGGGTGATACCGTGCCAGGGGGGTGGACATCTTTCCCATTCTGGAAACATTTCAGGCAACAGGATTTCATATCTTCCCTCTGTTGCCAATAGCATCTCATAACCTGAAGAGAATGCTCTTGGGCCTAAGGTTTCCCACCAGGTAAGAAAGAAATATGAAATCCTGCTTGGTGTCCATTTCTCCTGGTACTCAAGGAGGGGTCACAGGGAGACAGAAATTGACGGAAGGAGGCAGTTAAGTCGTCAGCTCCCCTCACTCCGTACACTTCCTCTTGGAGGGCTCTCCTGCCTAGTCAAGGCCAATCCCCATTCCAGACCTCAGGGAGCCTGCCAGAGTTCTGTGGGGACACTGAGCTACAGTGGTCTCTCCCCTCTGACCTGATTTCTGTGAAAGCAACAACAAAATGCCTGAGATATCAGAAATATCTGTGTTTCTCTGGAGATCCTGGGTACATGATAAAACCCCATAGGTATGGGAGGCAGAATTCTGATGGCCCCAGATTCCGGCCCCCTGGTGTGCACATCCTGTATAATCCCCTTCCGTGGGAAGTGCCATGGGACTAGAGGGCATACTAGGGTATCACTCCTCTGATTAGGTTACTACTCAGTTGACCTTGAGTGAATCCGAAGGAAAATCACCTTGGGTTGCTTGACCTAATCAGGTAAACCCTTTAAAAGAAGGTGAAGCCTCAGAGTCCTGTTGGCCTCAAAGGGCCAAGCTACCATGTGGCAGAGAAGGGCAGGCAGTTGTAACTGAGGGCCTCAGCCTTAGAATCTCAAGAAACTGAACTCTTCCAACAACAATGAGCTTGAAGGAGGATGCTGAACCTTGTGTGAGATTGTGGTGTCAGCTGACACCTTGATTTCCTCCAGGTGAGATCCCAAGCAGAGAAGCCAGTGGAGCAGTGCCCAGACTGACCTACAGAGCTATGAGAACATAAGTGGGTGTTGTTTTAAGTGGCTAAGCTTGTGGTAATTTGTTATGCACCAGTAGATAACTGATACACTTGGTATGGTACAGGACACCTTATTGGCCCCTCAAACCTTAATAAGATTAAGTTTTCCAGCTATCTTCAGAGAGGACAGCCGGACTGGGGAAGACAGACAGCATAAGGCCACTAGGTTTGGGGATGGGAAGGACCCTGAATGGCGAGATAGAAGAGCTAAAGATAGGATTCAGGTTATCCCGTTTTACCCGGGATCGTCCCTGGGTGTTGGGGTTGTGTCTGTGAGGTTTTCTGGGCTAGAAGGGTGCCCCTGCTAGTCCGTGGGTGGCGGGCACCCACAGGGAGGAAACCAAGGGGATCGCTGAGCTTGTGAGAGGCAGTCACTCCAGCTGCCATGGCCAGTGAGCCAACATGGGTAAACGTTATTTGTCACTCCCATCTCAGGGGGAAAGTCTCTCTGGTCCTTTCCTATGAGGTTTTGATAAGGGAGAAAGAGTGAGAGCATCGCCACGTGAGGGGGAGAAATGACCATAGGAGGAGGACAGAGCTGGGAGAAGGTGACTAAGGGCCTTGAAGACACACCGGCCCCTTCTCACAAGTTTTCCTGGGTTCACACTGCCCACATGAGGTAACACGCCCCCACCAGCCCCACCAAGCCCTGCCCTGATTGTACAGCTCCCATTGTTGAGAACAGAGGTGGCCCAAATTATGGAGCGTGGTAGCCTGGAGGGATTCCCACTCTTGAAACACCCGCCCACCCACTCTTCTGCCCTCCATCCATCTTTTTATTAAATTCACATTTATTTTTTTTAAGATTTTATTTATTTATTTGACAGAGACACAGCGAGAGAGGGAACACAAGCAGGGGGAGTGGGAGAGGGAGAAGCAGGCTTCCCGTGGAGCAGGGAGCCCAATGTGGGGCTCGATCCCAGGACCCTGGGATCATGACCTGAGCCGAAGGCAGACACTTAAAGACTGAGCCACCCAGGCGCCCCTAAATTCACATTTACTGAGCATCTACTACGAGCCAGTCCTTGGGCTGGGTACCGGGAACACGTTGTTGATCAAACCCCAATCCCAGCCCTTATGATGATCCCAGGGTCAGGAATTTCTGCAATGCAGTGATGAGGAAGAAAGGTGAACAGGAGTAGCAGTAATTTTTTTGGTAGCACTTCTGTTTAATTTTTAATTTGTTATTATTTTAAATGTACACACAAGTAGAAAGAAGAGTGTAGTAAACTTCCAGATAACCACCACCCAGTTCCAACAATTTTTGTTAATATTATTTCATCTACAGTTCCACTTTTTTTTGATGGAGTATTTTAATACAAATTCTAGATACTGGGTATTTCACTCGTAAGTACTTCCATACAGCTCTCTGATATGAACGTTTTAAAATAACCACGGCAGCAGCAGTATCTGACCCCCAGATGCACCCCCCTGACCCCTTCCCCACCGAAGCCAGTCCTACATCCTACACCTCTAAGAGTCTTGACAAGGATCTGGTATCTCAGGCCGTGACATGCTAGAGTTTCAGACTTTGGCCCTTCAGTACCCCCCAGCTGTGTATTCCTGGGCCCTGACAAAGCTTAGCTGGTGACCCCCGCCCCAGGCCTCACTGCGCTCTTCCTCCTCTCTGTTCTTGTCGCAGATTGAAATGCTAGAACACAAGTACGGGGGCCACCTCGTGTCCCGGCGCGCAGCTTGCACCATCCAAACCGCCTTCCGCCAGTACCAGCTCAGCAAGAACTTTGAGAAGATCCGCAACTCGCTCTTGGAGAGCCGCCTGCCGCGGCGGATCTCCCTGCGCAAAGTCCGGGCGCCCATGGCCGAGAGCCTGGCGGCCGAGAAGGCGCTCATGGAGGGCTACGGCCTCATGGGGCTGCCGCTGGTGCGCTCGCCCTCCCTGCCGCCCACCTTCGCGGGCACGCTCACCGAGCTGGAGGACTCCTTCACCGAGCAGGTGCAGTCCCTGGCCAAGTCCATCGACGACGCCCTCAGCACCTGGAGCCTCAAGACCATGTGCTCCCTGCAGGAGAGCGGCGCTTACCAGCTCCACCAGGCCCTGCACGCGGGCGCGGGACCACCGGGCCTGGAGGCCGAGATGCGGGAGCTCGATAGTGCCCGTCCCGCGCCTGGGGAAGCGGCCGCCGAGGCCGCCGGCCTGCCCCAGGGCCACAGCAGCACCCTCATGATGGCTTTCCGGGACGTCACCGTGCAGATCGCCAACCAGAACATCTCCGTGTCCTCCGCCGCGGCTCTGTCGGTGGCCAACTGTCTGGGCGCGCAGACCGCCCAGGCCCCGGCCGAGCCCGCGGCGGGCAAAGCCGAGCAGGGCGAGGCCCCCGGGCAGGAGCCCTCGGCTGCCGCAAGCCCTGCTCAGGGGGACGCGCCCGCCGAGAACTCGGGCGCAGAGGCCGGAGCCAGCGGGGCCTCGAGCGCCCACTCGCCTGGGGCCGCCGCGGCGGTGGCGGAGGGGGCGGAGGGGGCCGCGGCGGCGGAGGAGACCGGGGAGGTGGGGCAAGGCACCGAGGCCGAGGCCGAGGCCGGGGACAACTCGGAGCAGCTGAGCAGCAGCAGCACGTCCACCAAGTCGGCCAAGTCGGGCTCGGAAGTGTCGGCCTCAGCCTCCAAGGAGGCCCTGCAGGCCATGATCCTGAGCCTGCCGCGTTACCACTGCGAGAACCCGGCCAGCTGCAAGTCGCCCACGCTGTCCACCGACACTCTGCGCAAACGCCTCTACCGCATCGGCCTCAACCTGTTCAACATGTGAGTGAGCACTGGCTGCGGAGCTCCGGGCAGTCCTGGGAAGATCGGTGGGAAGGGGGCGGGGCGCAGCGATTACAGGGGAGCAGGGGCCGGCTAATTTCCCACATCATCCCAGCGCCCTCCAGGGTGACATTGGTGCCGCACCTGCTCCTCCAGATGCGGTGTAGGGATGCACATTTTATTTGTAATTGTGACAAATTTATGTTCAGGATTAGGGACAACACAACACATCAAGCCCATGCTTTCACCGCTATTCCTGCTTAAGAGGAAGCTAGGGCTTGAAAAGCGAGAGAATCGAAAAGAAAATGCAGTATTAAGTAAAAGACAGTACAGGTCGTATGCGGACTGAGCAGAAATCATCCAGGGAGGACACGAAGTTAGGGAAACAGCATCATCTCTATGGGATGATGTCAAGCAGAGAGAGCAAGGAGAAAATGAGGAAAGGCAAGGGAGGGTCTGGGTGGGGGAGAAAGAAGAGACCGAGCATAAGGAATACAGGTAAAAGGCAGGAGAGGGATGGGGATAAAAGGGCGAGACAAGGAAGCCTAGGTGGCCCAGAAAGAGAACAGGAGAATGAAAGCAGAAAAACAAACAAGTGCTGGAGTTCAGAGTCCCCCAGCCAGAGCCCCAGCCAGAACTGTCCTTGCAACTAGAGTGTAGACAACTGGGGGCCAGCAGGATACGCACGCCCCTCCCATGGAAATCTCATCTCCACCCTCCATTCACCCCTCCCTTCAGAGCCCTGAGCCAGAAAATTGAACATCTCTCCCACCCATGTGTCCGTTCATTTATTCACTCAACTGTTATTTATTAAATGCCAGGCGCGTTGACCACAAAGATGAGTAGGGCACATGCCCTGATCTCAAGCTTATATTCCAGGGGCTGATAGCTACTGTTCTAGGCTCACCTTACATAAAACATCTGCAAACTTCCTAACAATATCTAGAGATGGCCTTATTATGCCATTTTACAGAAAAGAAGCAGGCTCACACAAGGAAGGCGAGCTGCAACTCAAAACTCACGCAGATAGTAGGATCCCTCAAGACAGTGGTGCTCAAACTCTCTGTAGCGAAGGACCACCTTGGGTTTTTACCCGATAGGTTGTGGGCTGATACTTTTGTGAAATGCAATAAAAATGAATTGCTAGAAAAACAATCACATGCTTGGTTATCCTGAAAATGTCAAAGTGCTATAAAAAGTTCTAAATGTTTGCCCTCTATTTCATAGCTTAGTACTTAGCTTCTCCTGAACCAGTAAGATACAGTTCAGGGAACAGCATGGATTTGCAGGCCATACTGTGAACACATTTGCCTAAAGACACAGCACCCACACCCACACCCAAACGTAGAGATGCAAGCGTGAGAGAGTAAATGGTGGAGAACAGGAATCTTGAGTCCACTATGGACAATGTGGTAGGAGAGCTCACCGCTGCTCCCAGTCTGGTCCTCCCTCCCAATTCCAGGGCGGGTGCTGTGTATAGACAACAGAATACAGACAGGGAGGAAGGGCCTTCGTGGCAGGCCTCACGGCCCTCAGGGAAAACAGAAAGGAACCTCTCCACCTGCTCTGGAATTCAGACCTCCCCCAACTCCTTCCTTCCCCATGCTATCTTCACTCCTATGTATGTGTTGGGGTGGGGGTTGTTCAGGAAGATGAGGCTCCTGGGAGAAGCACTTGGGATGGGGAGCCCATCTGCAGTGGAAGGAATCCTGGCATTTCGGAGGCATTCTTCCCAGAAACTTCCAGGCACTTCTATGGGTTCCATGGGCTGGAAGAAAGGGAAGAAAGAAGTCATGGATAGCCGTGGCTCACTCTCTACTCCTCCCACCTCCGCTCCCACCCCTAGAAACCCAGACAAAGGCATCCAGTTCCTGATCTCTCGAGGCTTCATCCCTGACACCCCCATTGGAGTGGCCCACTTCCTGCTCCAGCGCAAGGGTCTCAGCCGGCAGATGATCGGGGAGTTCCTGGGCAACAGCAAGAAGCAGTTCAACCGCGACGTGCTGGAGTGAGTGCCCCTCTCCCCACCCACGGCCCAGGGTCCCATAGGACACAGGGAAGGGAGCAGGACCCCTGAAGTCTTGGCCCATCACTGTATCTTGACCAGCCTCTGTTTCCCCCTCCTAAGTCCTGCAGACATTTACTGAGCGCACTCTGGGCAGGGTCCCATTGAAGGCACCAGGGGTATAGAAATGGTCAAAGGAGACAAAAGGCCTCCCTCCCTGCTTACCCTCTGGGGCAAGAGAGTGAGCCTGGAAAAGAAGAGGACTATGTCTGCACTGGGGCCATCTCTGCCTGGTGAACAGGACCTCAGCCCACCCTGTTGCTGCCATCTGCCCAGCCCCTGAGCCCCCACAGGCTGGCTTGCGCTCCACATGGGCTCAGTTTCATATTGGTGGAGGCAAACATGAGTCAGAAAAAAGGAGTTAGACTGAGGGTTTTTAGAGCAAGAAAATACTATGATTCCCTAAAGATACGTTTACCACCAAGATCAACAGATGGGGGCAGGATGAGGGGCCTGCCTTCGCCAGCGCTCAGCTCTGCTCGTGTGGAGGCGTGGCCAGGTGACCCCCTCTTCACTCACCAGCCTCGAGCCACCGGGCACAGGGTGGCATCCTTGGGGCCACCTCTCCCCTGGCAGAGAGAGGGTGAGGCCCCATGAAGTCCGCTCCAAACCCCCTTCTTGAAGGCCATGCCACCCCTCTCTCCACTTCCTTCTTGGGAGGTCAGCAAAAGTGTTTCTTGGGCATTCTGAGAGAACCTCTCCCTTTCGTACTTGCTCTTGGGGCAGCAAGGGCCTGCTGTAGGGGGGCAGGGGGCTCCTGCCCAAGGGTTTGGGAGCATGGGACTCATGCAGCCTGACTGGCAAGGTTGTCACGTGCCTGGAGTGGGTGCTCAGAGACCTGGCTTCTGTTTACGCAGCAGTCTTGGTGCTGCGTCTTTGGACAAGTCTCTGCCCTTGGGGCCTGCGCTTCCACGCCTGTGGACTGCAGGGGCTGGATTATGAGGGGTAGACCAGTGGTCCTCTGGAATCCCTGTCACGTTCCTAAATTCACAAGCAGTTGTCTAACTGAGTCAGAAGAGCAGGGGGGCTTGGACACATCTGAGGGACCTTGAAATGCCCCTTAGTTGACAGAACCCAGTTCCCCCCTTTTGAACAATCAGGACCCCCCTCCCCAAACTAGTGCTTAAGATGCTCTGAGTGCCTCACAGAGGAAAGTGAACTGATAAGTGTGCTTCCTTCCCCCTCCTTTCTTCTCCCTCTCCCTCGGGCTCCCCTTTCTCCTCAGCACCACCCCTGCCGGGTAGGGTGCCCTAAGAGGATGCCCTGAGGAAATGATAGAAAGAGGAGAAAGATCAAGCTTTCTCTGTCTCCTTCTGCGCCCCGACTTCCCTCCATCTGGCTCATCTCTCTGGCCTTTTCGTTTGCTTTTGTCCCCGTTTTACTCCTCCGTCTCCGTCTCCATAGGAGGGTGAGTGGGGGCGCTGCGCCTCCTCACTTCCTTCTCCCCAGGTCCCCGGCTCCCTGCGCCCCTGGGGGACCCTGCTTTGTCTCTCTGCTCTGGGGGCTGCCTGCTTCACTCACAGGCCCTGACTGACTATCGTCTCTTCTGCCCTCCCCAGTCCCCGTGTGGCCTGGCCCTGAACTTCTGACCCGCTAGGCCCGCAGGGACCTGGCGCGCTGGGAACACAGGGTTTGCCGCCAGCCCGGTGGTGCCAGTGCCGAGCAGCACAATGCAAACTAACTGCCGTCCTCCCCGGGAAGACTGAGTGTGTGGGCTGAGACAGGGAGGGGCGCCGGCTGGGGACCGGGCTGGCAGCTGAGGCGGGGAGCAGGCTAGGGATGAGGGGCAGCGTGCTGGCAAGAGAGAGCTGTGCCTGAGAGGGCCCGCTCGGAACCCTGGCTCTGCTCGTCTGGTGCTGGGAGGCCTCCTCCGGGCCTCAGTTTCCTCACTTGGAAAGCGAGAGGGTAGGGCTGTGCCATCTCCAGGGTCCCTTCAACTCCTGTGAATCTATCATCTTACCCATTCCTCGGTGTCTCTGTAGCACACTGGGATGGTGCAGTTTGCCCTAAACGTCAAGGCCATGCTTTGTCATGCCACCGGGGCATCCTGGAGCAGCCCGCGCGCTCCAGAGCAGTGAGCTCACCATTCCTTCCACAAACATGGAGTGCCTGCTCTGGGCTGGGAACGGCGCTGCGCTGGGCATGGGTGCCAATGCGGGATGGGAGCAGGGAGGAGGAGGCGTGGCTCGTGGCCTCAGGGGAATTTACCGACCTGGGTGAGCGGAGGAGTGTGGAAAGCGAGACAAGGGGCCAAGGAACCTCCCTCAGGCCTTGGGGTGTCAGGAGAGTGGAGTGCAGAGCTGAGCCCCCATCTACCCCATGGGCGCCTGGACCCCTTGTGGTTTATTGCGCGGCGTGCAGGCCCTGGGCGCCGAGGCCCCAGCACACCCAGCCTCTGCACGGAACAGAAGGGGCTCCTCTTGTTTCTCCTCCACAGAAAGGAGCCCTCTTCACCCAAGTCCGCGTGGCCTCCTGCCTGGCTTGTCTCCTGGTGGGCTGCCAGCAGGAGATGGAGAGCCGGGAAGGGGCAGGCACTCACAGGGGAGCCGGACGCTGGCGTTCCGGCGGGGGGGGCGGTTCCCTGCCAGTCAAGCCAGCTATCCTGCAACCTCTCAGCATCTGCTGCCTCTTCCTTACGCCCACCAGAGAAAACACACAATAACAAAGCCACCGGTGCCATTTTGCCCGGGCGGAAAAGGCTTCATTGGGATTCTGAACAGCTTCCCTGCCCCCGCTTGGTGACATTCAGCATGTCGCGTCCGTTCTGTACAAAGCTGCTTGCTGAATAAAAGGACATAAATCACCCATCCCCTTGGAGACTGAGACAGCCCCAGCCGCAGCACTCTCCAAGATGCAGCCAGGCAGGAAGGGGAGAGGGTGGAAGCCTCTAGGAGGGGACAGGGCGGAACCCCCACCACTACCACCGGCGGGCCTGTGGAGAAAAGGAAGAGAGAAGGGGCCGAGCAGAATCCTGCTCAGCTGCTGGCCTACAGCTGAGCACCATAGATGCCGCAACATCGCCAACCGAATCGGGCCCTTGGTGCTCCTGGAAGCTGATCTCTTCGGCCCTTAGTGCCCTGATTCCATAGCAGATCCGTTCCAAGAAGGAATGTCTTTAATCAGCGTGTATCGAATAATAATAGAAGGCACCCTGAGCTCGAAAGGCCACGTCCATTCCACTGTTTACCTGGGAAGGGCTTGGTTTTTATAAAGGAGAAACCAGCTTGCTTCCTCACTTGTCAAATGGGGACAAAAGGAACGTCATACAAATATTAAAATGCATGTAAAGTGCTTACGTCAGTGACTGAGGCTTAGTCAGTTCTTTACAAATATTAGCTATTTCTAGTATTATCTTTCTTACTTGAAAGCACAGGACATCAGACGCCTCCCCACCCCGGCCCTGGCCCGGTGAGCAATCTGTCAGACACCTCAGGTCTGGTTTGCGATCAGGTCCACTCCCCAGACAGCAAGAACTTGCTGGAGCTTGCCGGGGAAGGGAGAGGCGCTCATTGGGGGACCATCCTGCACTCTGAGGAAATCCTCTCTGGTGCTGATGGGGGAAGGGCCGTGGAGGCCTGGCGGGAGGAGCTCCAGACATCAGCGGGGGTTAGGATCTTTGGGCGCTGGAAGCTTCTCCCTCTCAGTTTTCACATGGCTGGGAAATTTGGCTCTGCTCTATTTCCCTTCTGAAATGTTCGCCTCAGCAGTTTGAAGGCCAGGGGATGGGGAAACGTTCCCTGCTGGCTGCGAGCAGACTCTTTTCTGGCCTGGGTGATCTTTTCTGAGGGGAGTCACATACCCAGGAAGGGCAGGGGTATCTGTCATATCCGTGGAAGTGCACAGAGGGCAGGTTTTGGGTTGAGTTGCCGGAAGAGTTTCCTGGGTGTTCCTTCTCTCGCTGTGTCTACTCCGTTTTTTGTTCAATATTAGAGTTTGACATTTTAGTCAGATCGCATTATTTCACTTCTTTGGAAATGTGTCGGCCAGAGTGTAACAGATTTGTTCTTCTTAGGGGACATTCAGAAATGAAGACAGATTGCCTGTCCAACTCAACAGGCTGGGAGGCGCTAGCCTTTCATGGCTAGGAAGAAGTTATTTGAGAATGTCCTGCCCGTTGTGCCGTTGTGCCGTGTGTAACCTGAGAACGGTTACTTCATTTCTGGGGAATTCCACCAGGAAGGAGAGAACAGGCTGGGGCCCATGCAGACCCTTATAGGTCTGGAGGAGGGTGGAAAGAGGCCCGGGGCAGGCAGGGATAGACTCTGCGCTTATTCCCACTGCTTTGAAAACTTGACCCAGCCACCACCCAGCGGGATAGAGGGAGGGGGTCTCTTCTTTTTTTCTTTTTAATTTAATTTAAATTCAGTTCATTAACATATAATGTATTATTAGTTTTGGAGGTAGAGTTCAGTGATTCATCAACTGCATATAACACCCAGTGCTCATTACATCACGTGCCCTCCTTAATGCCCATCCCCCAGTTACCCCATCCCCCTACCCCCTTCCCCTCCAGCAACCCTCAGTTTGTTTCCTGAGATTAAGAGTCTCTTATGGCTTGTCTCCCTCTCTGGTTTCATCTTGTTTCATTTTTTCCTCCCTTCCGCAATGATCCTCTGTTTTGTTTCTTAAATTCCACATATGAGTGAAATCATATGATATTGTCTTTCTCCGATTGACTTATTTCGCTTAGCATAATACCCTCTAGTTCTATCCATGTCGTTGCAAATGGCAAGATTTCATTTTTTTGATGGCTGCGTAATATCCCATTGTATATATATATCACATCTTCTTTATTCATTCATCTGTTGATGGACATCTGGGCTCTTTCCATAGTTTGGCTATTGTGGACATTATTGCTATAAACATTGGGGTGCACGTGCCCCTTCGGATCCCTACATTTGTATCTTTGGGGTAAATACTCAGTAGTGCAACTGCTGGGTAGT